CAGTCAGATTAAGGATCAAATGTTACATCAAAATTATGTTTTTGGAAAGAGGTTATGAATAGCTTGGAAATAAAACAATTCAAATCCACTGCCTACCATCCACAATTGCGGGGAGCATTAGAATGGTGGTATCAAACTTTAAAGACCATGTGATGGGCTTATAGTCAAGACGATCCAGAGCATTGGGGTAAAGCGATTCCATCTGTACTTTTTGCAATTAGGGATGCACCAAATGAATCTACCAAATTCAGTCCATTTGAATTAGCTTTTGCACATGAGGTGAGAGGACCACTGAAATTAATTAAGGAGAACTTGCTAAATCAGAGTTCAAAGACCACATGTTTGGACTATGTGTCAAATTTTAGGGAAAGATTAAATATAGTGGATGAGTTGGCTAGACAACATTTAAAAGTAGCACAGCATGTGATGAAACAGGAAGCAGACAGTAAATCAAAATATCACAATGTTACTAGTGGAGATAAAGTGTTGGTGCTGGTTCCAGTGGTCGGTGAACCTTTAATAGTAAGGTTTAGTGGGCTTTTGTCAAATGGAAAGGAAATTGAGTGAAGTGAATTATTTGATAAGAATGCCAGATAGAAGGAAATCTCACAGTGTGTCATGTGAATATGCTTAAAAGGTATTTTGATAAGGAAAGAAAACAAAACGAGAATGTGTTACTGGTTACAACACAGAGTGAAGAAGCAAGTTCAGATGATTCTGAATTGGACATTGCTCAAGTTAAATTGGACAGTGAGGAAATTCTCAAAAATTGGGATAAATTATTGAATTACCCTCCAGAGGAAAATTGAAATGACCTGAAAGAGTTGTTATAATCACAGAGGGAGATATATGGGAATAAGCTGGGAAGTACTAATCTAATTAAGCATGTTATTGAGATAGGAAATGCTGTTCCAATAAGCAACATCCTTACAGATTTAACTCTCTAATGTTGACACTGGTTCAAAAAGAGGTTGAATGCATGCTCGAAGACAACATAATTGAAGTGAGTTGCTGCAACTGGAGCTCACCCATAGTAATGGTGCCAAAACCAGGTGGTACCCAATGATTATGTGTGGATAGTGGCAGTTACAATTCATATCCTATTCCATGTTTGGAAGACTGTATTGAGAACGTGGGACAAACAACTTGTATTTCTTCATCTTGACTATAAGCCCATTCACATGGTCTTTAAAGTTTGATACCACCATTCTAATGCTCCCCGCAATTGTGGATGGTAGGCAGTGGATTTGAATTGTTTTATTTCCAAGCTATTCATAACCTCTTTCCAAAAACATAATTTTGATGTAACATTTGATTTACTCTGAGGATACTGGCAAGTACCTTTATCCGGAGGACCGAAGACAATCATAGATAGCAAGAACTGCAGATGCTGAAGTCAGAGTCAACACAGTGTGGAGCTGGAGGAACACAGCAGGTCAGACAGCATCAGAGGAAAGGAAAGTTGATGTTTCAGTTTGGGACCCTTTATCAGAACTGACCAGGTTCTCATGAAAGGTCCCGACCCAAAACATTGACTTTTCTGTTCCTCTGATGCTGCCTGACCTTCCAGCTTCACACTGTGTTGACTGAAACCGAAGATAATTTCAGCCTTTGTGACACTGAATGGACTATACCAATTTAAAGTTATGCCATTTGGTATGAAAAATGCACCAGCCATATATCAAAGTCTAACCAATAAAGTCATTTCTGGATTAACCAATTGTGTGGTGTACATCGACACTCTGGTGATTTTTAATCTAACATTTGCAGCATCTATCGGAAATATCCGAACAACTTTGGGAGACAGGTTTGGTGATAAACCTGGCTAAGAGTGAGTTCGCAAAAGCCCAAGTCACGTTCCTAGGCCATGTTATTGGATATGAACTGATAACCCCATGGGATGTGAAAACAAAGATTATTGGGGAGTTTTCCCTACCATCAATGAAGACAACAATTCTATGATTCCTGGGATTGAATGGCTTTTATCAGAAGTTTGTACCAAATTTTAGCAATGTGGTTTCTTCACTGACTGACTTATTGAAGAAGTGCAGTAACTTTCAGTGGATGGCGGATTGTCAGAAGATATTTGACGACCTGAAAGCCCAAGTGTTAGTCACATCTAATATCGCAAAGCCATTCAAGATGGCTATCAATGCAAATGATGTCGTGTTGGTGCTGTACTTTCACAAGAAGATGATGAGATAACAGAAAGACTTATTGGGTGTTTATCCAGAAGATTCAATAATTATCAATAGAAATATTCCGAGATTGAGAAGGAGACTTGAGCTTCCTGTTGACATTGCAACATTTCAACATTTATACTGCCAGTAATGTGTCTGAGACAACTGGAAATACTGATCATAACCCATTAAAGTTTTTGGAGAAATTTTAAGGACAAAAATTCCTGACTGACTGGATGGAGCTTATTGCAGCCATTCAATTTGGAAATTATTCACTTGGCATGACAAGACAATGTAACTGCCAATGCGTTGTCGCATCTGGGATGAAGGAAGACAGGTGTTTGGTGGCGGGAATACACGGACTGAAATAGACTGTAGTAGTGAATGTTTGCACGCTTAGAGTCAATATAGTATATATGTATTGTAGTGTACTCAGCATAAGACTAAGCATTTTTAAAAATTAAGCAATCTTTGTACATTGATAGTTCATTTTTATAAAGGGGGAGGTGTGATGATGCAGTCGCTTTAAAAGGCATATTTTGTCCATGTTTCTTTTGAGAGAGATTGAACGAGAGGTACAAAGCAGTCTGTGGTAATGTGAACAGCTTATAAGACCTTGTGGTTTTTTAAAAATTGGAACAATAGAAGCAGCTTGGATGTGTGTGGCCAGCTCTCTCAGACCAGGATGTCTAGCTTTTTTTTAGCTTTTAGATTTAGTAGAACTTGCTGGAGTTTTGATGAAGGAGAAGCTGTGTCTTCTCCCCTCTCTCGGTTACAGCTAGAAGCTGGGGTTTCTGTTCCTATTGCAGGCATTGCATGTGAGAAAATCTGATTTCTGAATTTGTGTTTTTGCCAAGGGGTGTATTTATGGGATGTTTCTGTATTGGAACAGTTAATTAGTAATCGTTACTATGTCTATTATTCTGTTAAATTTTCCAATAAAGTTAAGTTACTCTAAGTTCTTCTTTCTTTTGTTGTATTTTAGTGATATTGCTTGAATAAATTTTATTTTGCATAACCCTGAGTAGTTTGACCCGTCAAATGGCATCTGGGACACAGCACTTTACACTTGTTAAAATAAGAAAAAGTTAGGGTCTAGGCTACCTCCTTAAAATATTTTGAAGTGGTCTGGTCTGCTATCTCTCAGTTGGGTAACCAAAATTCCGAATTCTTTGTCTATCTGTCTGACTTCTTTCTCTCTTCGTCTCTTTCTCTTTCTTTCTCTCTGTATGTCTCTCTTTCTCTCTCCTTTCCCCCCTCCCCCCATACTGAAAGGGTGTTTTGACCTTTTAAACAAAAATCCTTTAATGAATGTAACCAGCAGCTACCTGAATTTATTTTGAAATTGGAGCTGTATAGTACATTAGTTAGGCCACACCTGGAATACTGAGTGCAGTTCTGAACTCGAATCTATAGGTAGGGTGTAATTGCTCTGGAGAGAGTGTAGAAGTGATTCACCTCAATGCTGTTCAGGCTGAAGTGTTTCAGATCTGAAGAGAAACTACATACATTTTTTCTGAAGAAGGGTCCAGACCCGAAACGTCAGTTTCCTGCTCCTTTGATGCTGCCTGGCCTGCTGTGTTCATCCAGCTCCACATCTTGTTATCTACATAGGTTAGTGTTGCTTTCCTCTGAGCAAAGAAGTCCGAGTGGGGGAACCTGATTGATGTCTACAAAGTTGTGGTAGGGAGAAACATTTTCCCTTAGAGAGCATAGGTCCAAGGTAAGGGAGAAGCGGTTTAGAAGGGATTTAAAGTGAAATGTTTTCACCCAGAGGGTGGTGGGTCTCTGGAACTCTCTGCCTGAAAAGCCATAAGAGGTGGGAACCATTACAACAGTTAAGTATATAGATGAACACTTGGAACACCATAGTATACAGGGTATGAACGGAGTCCTATGAAATGGGATTACAGTAGATAGGTGCTTCATGCGAGCGTGGTCTCGATGAGCTGAATTACCTTTTTCCATGCTGAAATACTCTGATGTTTCATCACAAACACCACATCCTGATACTTTCTACTATTGTGAATTATATATTTCCACACTTTGCCTTCCATGTTAAAGGCAGCCAGCAATTCATCCTGCTACTTGTTTCCTCACTCCATATTCTGGAACCTTCCGCATCAGTCTTTTTAAGCTTTGTCAAAGGCTCTCTGAAAAATCCAATAATTTACTTCAACTGTATTACCATTGTCTGCTGTCTCTTACCTCCTCAAAATAAATCAATAAATTTAGTCAAGCAAGTTTTTGTTTTTCCTTTTTAAATCCACTTTGACTATTCACGCTTATTTTCTTTTCTAGATGTCCTTCTATCTTCATGTTTAGTATGGATTCCACTTTTTCTCTCACCACTGCTGTAGGTTTGTTCTTTTAGTGAAATATGCATTTTCTGCAATCTTTTGAATATTGGTTTTAAGTGTTTCTCATTTGTATTACCTTATTAAAAGCTGCCTGAAGCCTGGAGTGACTTATTGGAAAAAAAAATCAAGCCTAAAATCTTGAAAATATTATATTCTAGATGTATTTCATTTAAACCACAGATGTGATTGTGTTGAAGGTGATACTGTGCAAAAAAGTGAAAGGCTTAGAAGTGAACTTTTGTTCTTTTGAAAATGAATGTTATTACAGTTTCCTAAGACTTTGCAACTTCTGAGAACTGGAAACGTTCTTGAAACTTGTTTTGTGATTTGGATTTTGTACTGTTCCTGGAATAGAATCATTTGATGTTTTGTTTGAGGCAGTACAACAACAATGGAACAGATATTGTTATTAAGTTTTGCAGTAGCAGTTCTTTTCATCGCATTTAATCTTTTGTTGCAGACTGCAGTGAAAGCTCTTGAGCAGCTAAATCAAGATGGTAAAATAAAAGAAAAGGTTTATGGGAAACAGAAAATCTACTTTGCTGATCAGGTGAGAAAGTGAGACATTTTTATGATAACACTTGTACTGAAAAGAGATGTTTAATTGGTTTATTTGTGTTTTGGTGAGCCTTTGTCCAGAATCAGGTAGATTGTCTCTTACTAGCAGTTTGAAAGTATAAAGCAGGGGAACAAGAAATTCAGTGTAAGCCACAAACATATAAATCACAACTTGTCTTCACATTATTTAGAATTAATAGGTCAGTTTCATTAAATATATTTCCCTTTAGCTAAAGTTAAATTTCAGTCGATTTGTTTTTCTAAGGAGCTTTTAGTAATCTGTTTTTGAAGGCAAGTTGTGAAGATTAAAATAGGCCTTATCTGATGGAATGGCTGGTTATTGAATATCTCAGATTATAGTTGTCAGTGATTTCTGATGTGAAGCTATCGTGCAGGCTGCAACAAAGTCTGGTAACATCCAAATCTGACTACTGGCATATAATACTTGTGCCATATGAATGTCAGATATTGAGCAAGAGAGAGCCGACTGACCTCAAGCAGCACCGTGATCACCATGTCTTTGGTCATAAACATTTGAAGAACCAACACTAAAGAGAATCTTAACTGACCCTAACGTAGCAGAGCAGAGGCTGGGATCTCTGTGATCAGTGACTCATTTTTAGACTTTTCATTAAATTCTAGAACTGTTGTTAAGGATTGGAAAGTAGTAAACTCAACCACCCTGCTAAGTGTCATGCAGTCCTTACAGCATTGAAGGAGCATGTTTTGCTGGAGCAACTCCCATTTCCACACCCAGAGTATATATTTTCCACAAATGCCCATCCAGTTGCCCTTCAGATAACTGAAGCTCTGTACACGTTTTCTGGTGTCCTGACAATTTCCTAACTGACATGTACCGAGCTCTAAAGAATCCATCTACCCGACCATTCGAGTACCACCTGTCCTGCATCTGTCAGAGCTTGCAGATTGCACATTGTTGGGTGTATCAATCATCTCATAAGCAATTGAAACGAATGTAAAGCATATTTTCTTCCAACCCAAGGGACTACTCACGAAGAGCTTTTTGAGGATAGGTGGAGTTAGTAAGATGGATAAGGCGGAGCAAGTGGATGTAGCATGATGCTCCACCTGGAAGTGTGGTGGAAGCAGGTTCAAGTGAGACATTCAGGAGGGTGCTGGATGATATTTAAATAGACACAATATGCAAGAGTATGGGTAAATGAGGAAAATGAGCACACTAAACTGTGGTGCTCGTTTGGAGAGTTGGTGATGACACAGTGGGCTGAATAGTTTCTTGCGTGGTAAAACTTATGTGATTTTGCATTTCAATTTTCCAAAAGTGAACAGATGCACAGTATATTAGGACTCATGGATTTGGAGCTGAATTCCTGGATTGAGGATTTGTTTGTGGATAATAGTAGGAATAAACAGCACATTTTCAGGTTGGTAGATTGTAACTAGTGGAATACCACAATAATCAGTAGAACATAGAACAATACAGCACAGAAACGGCCATTCGGCCCACGATGTTGCGCTGAACATGGCGTCAAATTAAACTAATTAAACTTCTGCCTGCCCTTGGTCCATGTCCCTCCATTCCTTGCATATTCATGTGTTTATCTAAAAATCCCTTAAATGCCCCTATCATATCAGCCTCCACCACTACCCCTGGCAGCGCATCCCAGACTCCAACCACTCTCTGTGTAAAAGACTTGCCCTCACATCTGTCAAGGAGACTAGATTAAATCACACACCAAAGGCCCAGACTTCGAGGCAAAGAGATTTTATTCGTGATATCACGGAGAGTCAACGCTGACAAAAGGTCAGGTCTGAATACTCCGACAAACACAAAAAAGAAGCAGGATTTATACAGCGGTACAAACAAGTTCAAACAAACTGCAGTTGTACTGTGTTTTAACAAGGCAAGGTCATTACTTAGGCAACCAGACATACATTAATTAAAGCGGAAAGCGGTGAAGATAAGAGTGTACAGATGCTGCGAGCCCTCCCTAGCTTTTTGCTATCTATCCTACATGACTTCTCAGACTAGGGAAAGGCAGGTTGCAGTTACAGCAATATGTACTGTTTCATAAAGCTAAAGTTTCCCTACTTCGTGCTCCTAGTCATGTATTATTTTAACTCATTACTACTCAGCCTAAATTAAACAGTCTCAACAAACCAGTATTCCACACATCTCCTTTGAACTTACCCCTCTCAGCTTAAATGTATACCCCCTAGCATTGGGCATTTCAACTCTGGGAAAAAGATTCAGACCATCAACTGTATCTATGCATCTCATAATTTTACAGACTTCAATCAGTTCTCCCCTCACCCTCTGCCACTCCAGTGTTTTCTAGCGTCTCCTTATAGCTCATATCCTCTAATCAACGCAGCATCCTGGTAAATCCCATCTGCACCCTCTCCAAAGGCTTCACATCCTTCCTGTAATATAGCGACCAGAATTGAACAGAGTACTCTTAAGTGTGGCCTAACCAAAGTCTTATAAAGATGCAAAATGACATCCTGACTCTTCTGCTCAGTTCTGCGACTAATAAAGGCAAGGATGTCATACATGTTTTTTAACACCCTATCTACTTGATTGACCACTTTCAGGGAGCTATGGACTTGAACCCCAAGATCCCTCTATACATCAATGCTGTTCAGAGTCCTGCCATTAACTGTATCCTTTTCCTTACCATTTGTTCTCCCATGGTGCAGCACCTCACTCTTATTCATATTAAACTTTATCTGTCATTTCTCCAGTATGGATCTCTGCAGAACACCACTAATCATGGACCTCTAGTCAGAAAAACACCCACTACTACCCTCTGCCTTCTGTGGACAAACCAATGGGGCAGATGCCATCGGGCTCAGGGGACATATCCATCTTAATGCTGTTTAAGAGACCCAACACCACTTCTTTCTTAATCTTAAAATGCCCTAGAATAATAGCATGCTTCACACTAATCTCACTACCCTCCACATCCTTCTCCTGGGTGAATACTGATGCAAAGTGCTCATTTTGGGTCTTGCTCATATCCTTTGCTTCCAAGCACAAGGTTTCTCCTTTTATCCTTGAGTGGTCCTACCTCCTCCCCAGTTAACCTCTTGTTTTTAATGTATGTATAAATCTTAGGCCTCTGCTGTTTATAGTCTACCTTTATGTTCATAACTTAAAATGTTCCACTTAACCCCCTTATTTAAGTTTACTGATGTTTCAAAGGTTGGGGAGCGAATTACGTGAAGAGAATGCAAAGAGAAATTTAGGCAGTTTGATGAGCGAGTAAAAACATGAAGATGGAATACAATGTGGTGAAATGTGCAGTTATGCATTTTGAAAGGAAATTTTAAAAAGAAACTTCTTTGGATGAAACTGGGAAATGTTTACTTCCAGAGGGACCTTATTAAACCATGGAAAATTAACACCCAACTACAGTAAATAATTAGGGAAGGAAATAGGATGTTAGCTTTTGTTACAAAGCGAATAAAGTACAGAAATAAAACAAGACAGGATTGTTGCAGCACAGAAAGAGACTGTTTCGATCGGTATGTCAGCACCAGCTGTCCAAATGATTAATGCTTAAATGCCATTCTTCTATCTTCATACCATAACCCTACACATTTATCCTCTTGATATTATCTAATTACCTTTTGAATGCTTCAGTTGAACCTACTTCCACTGTACTTTACATCAGTGTCATCCAGACCATAATATCTTGTTGCCTGCAAACTTTTTTTTTTGCTACATTGCTTTTGCTGCTTTTGTTATTTACTCTGAATTTTTGTCATCTCATTCTCAGTCCTTCCATGAATAGGAAAAGATTCTCCCTAACCCTTCTCTTCAGACCCTGCAATCAAATCTCTTCCCAGCTATATTTCCTTCAAGGAAAGCAGTCCTATCTTCTTCACTCTGTCTTCATAACTGAAGTTCCTCATCTCTAGAATCATTCTTATGAATCTTTTCCGAATTCTAATGAGTCACATCTTTTCTAAAGCATGGCACCAAGAGCTGGACACAGTATTCTAGCTGGGGCTGAATTAGTTTCCTATAAAAATTCAATATAACCCACTTGCTGTTGTATTCTATGCCCAATTTCATAAAGCCCATTCTGTTTGCTTAACCACACTCTCAACCTGTCCTGCAATTTTAAATAACTTTTGCCTCTTTTTGATCTGTACATCCTTTGCTTACTATGATCAGCCTGTACTGTTCGTAAATAAAGCTTTCTACTGTATTTCGGTACATGTGACAATAAATCAATCAATCAATCACATCTGTGCCTAGGTCATCTAGTCCTACATCATTTTTGCATTTGAAGTTAATGACGTTGGTGTTGATGACTGAAGGATTTGAAACAAAACCAGGTCAAACTGTCATTTTTGGAATTGTGACTGTGTCCAGTGAAACAAAACCCTTGGAGTGTTAATGGAAAATTGTTGCTACTGCAGGGTTTACAACAGGGAGTGTAAACAAAGAAGACATTAACTTGGCTCTGGTTTAGAATAATCATGCATTGATTTTTAGCTTAGAAAACCCAGAGGTTGGAAGCGTTTAGGGTAATTTTAGAGAAGACCTGCTCATAAGATTTAGGAGCAGAAGTGCATCATTTAGCCCATTGTGCCTGCTCTGCCATTCAAGTAGATCATGGCTGATCCTCAGATCCTCACTGCCTTTTTCCCCACACCCCTGATTCCCTTAATTAAAAATCTGTTTATCTCGGCCTTGAATATACTTAACAGCCTGGCCTCTACAACCCTCTGCAGTAGAGAATTCTAAAGAATCACAACGCTGTGAGAGAAGAAATTCCTCCTCAGATCTGTCCTAACAGGGTAATCCCCTACTCTGAGATTATGTCCTCTGGTCATAGACTGTCCCACCAGGGTAAACAATCTCTGCATATCTACCCTGTCAAGCCCTTAAGAATCTTGTATGTTTCAATAAAGCCACCTCTTATTCTTCTAAACTCCAATAAATACAAGTCCAACCTACTCAAAGTGCCCGCATAAGAAAATCCCTGCATACATGGGATTAACCTAGACAATCTTCTCTGGACTGCTTCCAATGTGAACGTATCTTTCCTTAGATAAGGGGACCAAAACTGTTCATAGGATTCTAGATATGGCATAACTAGTGCCTTGTATGGTTTTAGGAAGATCGCAGTATTTTTATACTCCATTCCCTTTCAAACAAAGGCCAAAAGTGAATTTGCCTTTGTTGAAGGTAGATTATTGTATGAATATTCCCAGGAGACTCAAGGTACAGACTAATAATTATTTATTTTGCCAACACATCAGTAGGGTACCACTCCAGAGAAACTCTGAATTAGAACTCTGACCTCAGCAAGAAATCTGAAATATTTATGCATTGCGAATCACCATAGACAATACATTACCTGAATTCCGAAATGATCTGATTTAAACAAAATCCTTATTTCTCATACATTCCAAACTGGCAGGGGTGCCTAGCATCCCTCTTATCTTTCTTTCCAGGTATTGTCTTATCTCCTTCCAACAGCCTGTTTTATTCCCTCAGCCTTGAGATCCCCGTAGTTTTGTCTGGTGGTACTTGGTGCTAAATGGTACGACTGGTTCAACGATGTTACACTTCTGCAGAATTGTGTGTGTCTGTCACATCAGCAAACCTTAGCTAAATAGGAATAAATGAATTATATATATGATAAGCTAACTAAATTCCCTACTTCTTCTAATGTAATTACTTAACTCAGTCTAAGATTTTATTAATCTTCCTAAAATAAATTGATTTGGGGTTAACCCATGTTAATCCATACCAGACCTGATATTTTCCCCTCCTTTCAGCCCATTAGCCAAAAGTCCAAGGTAGCCAACTACAGATGCTGTTCAACCATTTAGTTTACTTTCTGCCATCATTGATATTGGCCAGATTTTTAAAAATTCATTCACGGGACGATGGTTTCACTGGCTATGACAGCATTTATTGCCCATCCCAAGTTGTCCAGAGGGCAGTTAAAAGTTAGCCATATTGCTGTGGGTCTGGAGTCACATGTAGGCCAGACCAGGTAAGGATGGCAGTTTCTTCCCCTAAAGAATCAGATGGGGTTTTCCCGACAATCGGCAATGGTTTCAAGGTCATCATTAGACTCTTAATTCCAGATTTTTTTCCAATTGAATTTAAATTCCACAATCTGCCATGACAAGATTCGAACCCAGGTCCCCAGAACATTACCTGTGTCTCTAGATTAACAGTCCAGTGACAGTACCACTAGGCCATCACCTCCGCATTTTTCCAGCTTAGGGTCATAAAAGTAAGAGGTTAGACCATCTGTATTATCCGATCCTTTATTCAGGGCTTATAATCCAGTAATCAAAGTTAACGTTTTGGATCCGGTGACCCTTCCTCAGGACGGGAACAGAACAGAAGTTTAAAAACCAAAAGAACTGCGGATGCTGTAAATCAGGAACAAAAACAAAGTTGCTGGAAAAGCTCAGGTCTGGCAGCATCTGTGGAGGAGAAAACAGAGTTAACGTTTCGGGTCCGGTGACCCTTCCTCAGAACTGATGGTGGCTGGGAAAACATCAGTTTATATGCAGAAAATAGGGAGGTGGGTGGAGTAGGGAGTAAACGATAGGATAGAGCCCAAAGAGAGAGAAAGACAGTTGGACAGACAAAGGAGTTGCTAACGATCAGGCTGGGAGGGTGAATAGTTGTTAATGGGGACTGTTAGTGACTAACAACAGTGGGTGTGTAGTGGCAGGCTATGTGGTAACAAGGCCTGGTGTGTGGGGTGGGGGGCTGGGACATGGGAGAGTTTAGGCCCTAAAATTATTGAACTCAATATTGAGTCCGGAGGGCTGTAGGGTCCCCAAGTGGAAAATGAGGTGTTGTTCCTTCAGCTTGCGCTGGGCTTCACTGGAACACTAGCAAGCCGGAGACAGAGATGTTGGCCAGGGAGCAAGGTGCTGCATTGAAGTGGCAGGCAACAGGTAGTTCAGGGTCTTTTTTGTGAGCAGAACGTAGAACAGAAGTTGCTGGAAGCTCAGCAGGTCTGGCAGCATCTGTGAAGAAAAAATCAGAGTTAATGTTTCGGGTCCGGAGCTCTGAGAAAGGGTCACCGGACCTGAAATGTTAATGCTGATGTTTTTCTTCACAGATACTGCCAGACCTGCTGAGCTTCCAGCAACTTCTGTTTTGTTCCTTCACTTTCAGCATTTTCTTAGCTGCAGTCAGTTCTTAAGAAAGGTCAGTGGACCTGAAACATTAACTCTTACTTTATATGCCTAGATGCTGCCAGTTTCTCCAGCAATTTCTGTTTTTGTTTCTGATTTCCAGCATCCGTAGTTCTTTGTTTTTTTTAAAATCTAACATTCCTATTTGATCCCAACACTGATAGTCCTTGCACGTTCCTGTTTTGGAGTTGGAAACCTCAGGTTCCCAAAAGTAAATTGCTAAATTTCTTTAGATGCTTCACTTTCAAAATATGTCAAATTCAAACTAACATATTCCCTTCAGAAATTGTTACCTCCCTGGAGCTACTTCTACGTGTATTTATCCTTGCTCTTAACTGAATATTTAATGCTTAACGAACTACTCCTTGCTTATCACCTGCTGAACCTGCATGCTAGCTTGTTGTGATTTATGCACCAGGACTCCCATGTCTCTGTGATGTAGCTTTTCCATTTAAATAATATTCACCTGCTGTATTCTAACAGCCAAAGTGCACAACCTCACATTTTCCCACGTTATATTCCATCTGCCAAGTTTTCACCCACTTGCTTAACCTGTTCTCCATAAGACACTGGCCTTTTTAAATTTGTTTTTAGAATATGAATGTCACTGCCAAGACCAGAACATTTATTGTCCACTTCTAATTGCTATTGAGAAGGTAATACTAAGGTTAAAAGCGTGTTTCTTTGTTGAACTGCTGCAGTTCATGTAGCATACCCACAGTGCTTTCTGCAGTAGCCTGATACAACTGAACGAAATGGCCTACCAAATCAGAGGGCAACACACAGTCAACTTGTATTGCTGAGTGTCCACAGTTACAGTGGGCCAGATTGGGTAAGGACAGCAGATTTTTCCCCCGAAGGACATAAGTGAACCATGTGGATTTTTATAACAGTCCAATCATTTCATGTGTTTTGTTCATGAATAGTTTTATTCCAGATTCATGAATTAATCCAGTTTAAATTCCCTCAAGCTGTTGTGATGTGATTTGAACTTGTGTCTCCAAATTGTTTAATAATAATAATGTCCAGTAACATTAACACTGTCCTCATCTCCTAACTATGATGCAGTCTTGACTTCAATCAAGATTTGAAATTGACGTAGAGAGTCAGTAACTGATGCACGAGCAGGCAACACAAGCCAGAGGCTCACTACTCTCTGAAAAAAAGACACACCAGAATCCAGTGCTTTCCTGATCTTGGGTTAAAAACTTGTTTCCAAGTCCTTCAAAGTGTTAAGCTACTATTCAAAATATGTTTCCAGCCCTTTAATTAGTGGATATACATCTTCTGTGTTACTTCTGAATCTGTGCTGCTAAATAGATAATCCTTTCAAAGTATTTGAGGTTCTTTAAGCTAGAAATGTTTTTTTAAGTTCTCCTTTGGACATGTTTTTTCAGGTCCAGCATGATACCCACCATATGGGCATAATGCTGTATTCCAGATGTGCTTTTGTTTTACACAGAGTGATCTGTTCATACAACAGTGCTGTTGGGTAATGTTGGCTTCAGTGTGTATAATTTATAGATGCAAGCATCAACAAATGTTTGAAGTCATGCGCAAAGGAGGATGGTTGTTGTTATTGGAAGTCCAATGTCTTGGCAACAAGACTTCACTGTAGGAGTTCCTCAGAGTAGTGCTCAGCATCCATCCGTTTTCAGCTACTTCATGAACAGCCAGAGGAGATTCACGCGATTGATCCTGAGTATGGGGAGCACAGTCTTATGAGGAGAGATTGAGGAGGTTGGGCCTCTACCGCTTGGAGTTTAATAATAAATGACCTTATTGAAACATATAAGATTCTTGGGAGTTTGACAGGGTAGATGTGGAGACATTGTTTTGACAGCGTTGAGGACCAGAGGGCATAATCTCAGAGTAAGAGGTCACCCATTCAAGCCAGAGATGAGTTTCTTCTCGCAAAATAAGGGTTATGGGGGAAAAGGCAGGGAAGTGGGAGTGAATGTTATCAGATCAGCCGTGACCTCATAGAATAATGGATTGGACTTGATGGGCTGAATGCACTATTTTTGCTTGTAAACCGTATGGTTTTAATGGTTTAACTTTACCACAGCTGTGAGGTCAGGCTGTGGATGTTCGATTATCGACGAACAATGTCCAGCATTATTTGTCCCTCTTAACTGAAGCAGTCTCTATTTAAATGCAGTAAGTTGTGTTCAAGATTTGTGGCTTGGACGGATGAGTGCTAAGTAACATTTGCACCACACAGGATTGGGAAAAGACAATCTCTAATTCGGGAGAATTTCCATTGCCCCTTAACATTGAATGGGATTATCACTCTTGAATATTCTACTAACAATATTCTGGGGATTACCATTGATTAGAACCTGAACTGGACTAGCCATATAAATATTGTGGTTATAAGAGCAAGTGAAAGGCTGGAAGTAACTTGGCTCCTGACACCAATGAATGAGTAAGAAAAATAAAAGAATTCATTAATTAGGTGACCTGAACAATCGAGAAGTGCAGCAATGGTGTTGGAGTTTCATCACCTCCAAGTTCCACACCAAATCTCTCACAAACCTGATATGTGCATGTATCCTTTATCATCACTGGGTCAAGATCTGTCGTTTGTTAATTTTGCAAGATTTGCAGTAATTCCTAATGCTCACCACCAACTCAGGATGACGAAGAATAGACAATAAATGTTGCTCTGTCAGTGTCATTACATCATGGCCACCAATTCACATGGTTTCAGTTATTCTTGTCTGATTCCCTCTCCAGAGTCAGTTTACAGCTGTTAGCGAAGCTGATCTGAAGACCCTAGACATTGAGATCAGTGAGCTGAGTGAGAAGTTCCAGAATGTTCAACAGAGCTGTCGGCAGTTGGAAGCAGGTGTGTTGGGAAGAAACTGTTGAACTTTTAGCAGTTCAGTACTAAGGTTCAGGAATGCCTTTAATTATTTAAATTTTTACACTTCCTCTTCTTTTCCTGTGCTGTGGGACTGGGAGATAAGGAAGAGCAAGGCCTTGGAGGGATTTGAATGCAAGAATGGGAATTCTAAATTTGAAGTTTGGAACCACTAGCAGTGTTGGTCATCAAGTATAGAGATGGTAAAATCACTTAGCACAGAAGGCCACTTAGTCCATTGTGACTTTTGCTCTTTGAAGGAGCTATCCAATCAGTCCCATTCCTCTCCACTTTGAAGAAAAGAATTAAGGACAAGAATAAAGCATCATGACTCAGTCTGTCCCACGTAAATTAGAATCAAAGGTAGGCAAGCAAAAATGTAAAATGACAAAACCATTTAGGTGTGGTCAATATGTATTCTTATGTTATGAAGGAGGACATACAACAACATAATAAAAAGGAGCAGGAGTAGGCCATTTGGTCCATCAGGCCTGGCCCTCTATTTGATAAGATCATGGTTGACGTGCCCCAGACCTCAACTCCTAGTTTCATCAGCTCAACATAGCTGTTAACTCGGATTTCTAAAATCCACTGACTTCCTCCTTAATATTTTCAGTGATTCAGCCTCCACAACTCTTGGGTGGTAAGGAATCCAGACATTCACTACCCTCAGAGAAAAGAAATTCCTTTGAACCTCACTTTTAAATGAGTGTCCTTTATTCTATAACAATGTCCACATCTAACCTGTCAAGCCCCCTCAGAATCTTTTATGTTTTAATAAGATCACCCCTCAATCTTCTAAACTCTGATGAATAAAGGCCTAAACCTCTTAGCTGTTCTTGCTAAATTAACCCCGTTATTCCAGGAACCAGACTAGTGAATCTTTTTTAAACGGCTTCTAATGTCAGTATACCATTTTTTAAATACAGGGTCTACCAACATTCTGTACAGTTGTAACCAGACAACTTTGTTGTTAAATTCCAACCTCCTTGCATAAAGACCAAAATTCCATTTTGCCTTAATTACCTGCTTCACTCTTATGCCATCTTTTTGTGTTTCAGGCATAAGAATATCCAGATCCCTCCGTGCTGCACTTTTGTAGAGTCTCTTTGATTCTTCTTACCAAAGTGCATGACCTCTCAGTTTTCTATGTTAAATTCCATCTGCAAAAATTTTGCCTGTTCACTCAACCCATCTATATCCCCTTGGAGATTTCTTATGTCCTCATCAAAACATGCCTAATATAGATGGTGAATAATTGGTAACCTAGAACTGTTCCTTGTGATACTTAGCTACTTGCCTTTTTCCAACCTAACAAAGACCCAGTAATCCCAAATCTGTCTTCTGTATGTTAACCAATCCCAATCGTCAATCCGTGCTAAAATATTAACTCCATTTCTGTCAGCTCCTATCTTGTGTGAGAACCTTTTGTTTTTGGAGAACCTTTTTGTGGCACTTTATCAAATACCTTCTGGAATTCCAAATACAGTAAATCGACTGGTTCCCTTTATCAACTCTGCATTGTTGTATCCTTGAAAAACTCTTAACAAATTTGTCAAACATGATTTCCTTTCACAAAACCATGTTGACTCTATTGGATTGTGTTAGCTTTTCTAAATGACCTGCTGTTTCTTACTTAATAATGTGCTCTAGCATTTGCCCAATAATAGATGTTAGGTGATCTGGTCCATAGTTTCCGGCTTTCTGTCTCCCTTTTTGAACAGGGCATCACATTGTAATTTTGTCCACTGCTGGAACCCTTCTGGAATCCAGTGAATTTTGGACTATTTTGAACAATGCCTTCACTATCACGGCAGCTATGCCCTTTGAAACTCTTAGATGGAAGTACTCAAGTCTTGGCAACATATCTATCTTTACGTCTTATAATTTGTCAAATACATTTTTGTGATAAGAGTGTGTTACAAAATCTTTACTTCCAACAGAGCCATACATATCCATTATCTTTGAGATCATGATAGTGTGTCACCATGAAGCCTAATGAAAAATATTGGTTTAAATTATCTGCTATTTCTCTGTTCCCTGTCAATTTCCAGTTGCATTCTCTAAAGGTCCTACACTTACCATAGCTACTTCGTTTTTATATATGAAGAAGTTCTAGCCAATTTGCCTTTACAATCTGCTGTCTCCCTCTTTATTAAGATTTTAGTCTTGGATGGTTCCTAAAAAATAATTCCTAACCCTCTGGCATGCCAGTAGTTTTCAGTGCTTTCTATGCATTAGTTATTGATTGGATACTTTTCTTGACTAGCTTTTTTAACCAAAGGTGATTCATCCTTCTCACCGAGTTCCTCGTTTTGACCTGAATAAGATTTTTGCTGAGCATTATGCTTATATGTCTTTGACTGTTCATCCCCTAACCCTCTGTTTAGTCTGTTAAGGTAACTCTTTTATCATACCTCTGTAATTGCCCTTTTCAAAGTTGAGGATGTTGGTTTCAGACCAGAGTTGCTGTCCCTGAGATTGAATTTCAAATTCTGCCATGTTGTGATTGTGACATCCTAGAGGATCCTTAACTCTCTTATTAATCCTTTCTCATTGCACATTATTATTATGATGATTGCTGTTACATAGAACTGACATGTTCCTTGGACTGAATTGGCTACCTTCTGTGACCGTTCTAGATTCCAGCCCTCTTAAAATAATAATTTGGAACACTGTGCAGTTTTGATTTACAGTTTCATAAAAATCATGAGCAGGCTTTGAATGAATTGCGAAGAAAAATGCAGAAGGTTGATTCTAAAACTGAAATTTATTAGTGAAGGCTGAAAAGGTGGGTCTTTTTCTCCAAAAAAATGGAGACTGACGAGTTACCTTATGGATAAGAGATATTCGAGAAGGTTGGGTGAAAAAAGTTGTTTTTATTTGTGGTGGAGTATAAAATTAGAGGCCGTCAAGCTCCTGTTCAGCTCAATGGGATTATGCCTTAGACCTTAGAGTTCTCAAGTGTATCATTCTTTCTTCGGGACAAATCCCTTTGATGTTCATTAACGTTACTCTAAAGGCCCACATACAAGAGAAAAGGGGGTACACTGGATTTATAACAATCCTGAATCCCGTCTATGTTGATGCCTAAAATTTTAGGCATGGATCTGGTGTCTTGCTCCTGGCAAATTTTCCCTGATCTCCCCTCACTATATTTAATACATTTTTACAGCATCAGAACAGCACAATCTCAAGGGCTTTCGAAGTGGTCACATTTTGCAAAGATACAGAGATTAAGTGATTGTGTTTTTGAGGGTGGGGGTGATAACTACATAGGGGATAACTTGGGGAGGGCAATGGTATTTGAAAAGAATGAGCTCTTAACAATTTCAGATGACATGGAAACACAAAGGAAAACTGGATAGTCAGCAGTTTATGGGAATAGGATTGAGGTACAGAATAAGCTTAGAGACGCCATCACCCCAAACTGAGAAGAAAGATTTGCAGTAACACAAAATCTCAAAACCTTCATGTTGCAAAAGTGCCTCAGTCAGGTAAGCACTTTTGAATTATAGACATGGATTGACCGTGCTGAATTGCCCATAGTGTCCAGGGATGTGTAGGTTAGGTGGATAAGTCATGGGAAATGTAGGGTTACAGGGATAGGGTAAGGGCTGGGTCGAAGAGGGATGCTGAATGGCCTGCTCCCACACTGTAGGGATTCTATGATTTATTCTATAATACTGTTATAATGTAGGGAAACATGGCAGCCCATTAATGAAGAGATTTTCAGGAGCTCTTACTGACAAAAAAAGGAGGGGATGTTACTTGCTTTTTGAGTAATTGTTGGTGGAGACAAATCTGATAACTACATCTAACTTCTGTGCTTGTGATACCAGAACAGATACTAATTCCATTTGTATCTGAATTAGAACTTAAAGAGCTAAATAGTTCGATGACAACCGAAGAAGTGTCTTTGGAAATTGCAGCATTAAACCAGGAATGTGCATCACATCAAGAGAGACTGCAAAAAATCAAATCTGCAAGCAATCACGTTGCCCCAGAGGATAAAGAAAAGGTGAAAACATTATTCAGCAGGCCTGCTATACATGGTTCAAAAATGCTAGGCTTCATTTGGCCCAGAATTTCCATAATCAAGTATTTTCTGCAAATTCGTATTTTCTGCAAATTCATATTTGCATACACCAGAGGATAAAACTCTTTGTAAAACTAGTTGTAAGTATTGGCAAGTGTGGACTTTGTGTTACAGCATTTTATGTTTAACTATTACAGTTTAAACAAGAAGAAATTTTTTTTTAAACTGTGATACAATGCAGACTTAAACTATCTCCCATTGATATTTACATTCATGGACAGGGCACAGGTTCTGCAGGGTATTATGGGTGGGAAACAGACAGAAACACACAACATCCTTTGAGATCAAAGGTTCGAATGCAGGTGATAAAATGGGTTGACTTTTTTTTCTGAGATGATAGCTGGTGACTCATAAAGTTCTACACGGGTCAGTGTTGGGGCCACAACTATTCATGTCATACATTAATAAGCTGATGAAGGAACTGAGGGCATTGTTGCTAGGTTTGGAGATGACACCAAGATAGGTGAGAGACATGTAGTATTGAGGAAGCAGGGAGGCTGCAAAAGGATTTGGACAGACTAGCAGAGTGGACAAAGAACTAGCAGGTGGAATATAATGTGGGAAAGTTGAAGGTTATATACTACGGAAGGAAGAATAGAGGCGTAGATAATTTTCTAATTAGGGAAAGTCTTCACAAATCTGAATCACAAAGGGAATTAGGAGTCCTAGTTCAGGATTCTTTCGGGGTTAACATGCAGGTTCATTTGACAGTTACGAAGGCAAATGCAATTTAGTATTCATTTTGTCTGGACTGGAATACAAGCTGAAGCTGTATAACACTCTGGTCAGACCACATTTGGAAGGAAGGATGTATTGACTTTGGAGGGCCTCCAGAGAGGTTTATAAGAATGATCCTGGGAATGAAGGGCTTATCACGTGAGCACTCTGGATCTGTACTTGATGGAGTTTAGGAGAATAAGGGAGGATTCTCATTGAAACTTGCCGAATACTGAGAGGCTTGGATGCAATGGATGTGGAGAAGACGTTTCCACCAGTAGGAGAGACCCTTTAGAACTGAGATGAGGAGGAATTTCTCCAGCTGGAGGGTGATGAATCTGTGGAACTCATTACCACAGAAGGCTATAAAGGTGAAGTCATTAAGTGTCTTTAAGGCAGAGATAGTTAGGTTCTTGATTAGTAAGGGATCAAGGGTTATGGGGAGAAGGCAAGAGAAAGGGTTTGAGAAATGTATCAGGCATGCCTGAATGGCAGTGCAGACTCTTTGGGTCAAATGGCCTATCCTGCTGCTGTATCTTACGATCTTATAGTCCTTTTGACTTTCTATTGTCTAGATTGATTGTTGTTGGTCACAGAGCAATGAAAGACCCTAGGGGTCATATGGAAGATCACTTAGACCCAGATCGTTGGATTGAGTTAATAATTCAACATTCAAAGTCCTTGAGGTTATCAGAGGTATTGATTTATTGAACCTACTCAACTACCCAGAAAATACTTCCTGAGATCTCGCTTCAGCTGATTTTCTTTAAAAGTCATCTTTTACTCATGATGAGAAAGACAAAGAGAGACACAGTATTACTTCTTTGCAAGCCTCTTCACAACTGACCAATTCTCAAGTCTATGGCAAAAGTGAAACCAAGTATCCAGAGGCTATTTCTAGGCAACCTGCAACACTAGACCCCTTACAAAATTCAGTCTTTGTCTCATAATTATACTTCATTAAGCATTCTCCTATCTATCTTATAAAAGCTTTTTGCCCAAAGTCATTTGGCTTTTTTCAAACAATTCCCAGTTCTTTTGACTTTTGAATTTCAAATAGTTACATGGCAAATCTTTTGCAACTCAGTAATTGTCCAAATTTTCCATCTTTAAGTTATCAGAATCTACAAATATATCTGTTTCCAAAACTGTCTCTCTCAGTATTCTGTACCCTTTGATTTTCCTGTCTGATAATATGTCCCGATTTCCCATTCCTGCAGAGTTAATTTAAAACCTTCCCAATTACACGAGCAAAGCACACCACAAGGAACTCAGTACTGCCTCTGTTTAGGTGTAAACCACCTGGCCTGTACAAGACCTGTCTTTCCCAGAGCCAATCCCAAAGTCCCAAGAATCTTAAGCCCTCCCTCATCAACTTTATAGCCATTCATTTCTGATTCTCCTTTTCAACACTTGCATGTGGCACTGAATACAATCCAGAGATTACTACATTTGAGATCATTCATGCTAATTTTCTACCAAGTTCCATAAATTCTGACTGCATATCACATCCCATTTTTTATGTATGTTGGTTCCAGTGTGGACCACAGCTGTTCTCTGTTGGAACAAAATGGGTGTGCTGAAGCTGCTCAGCATCATCTTTGACCCTGCCACCAGGGAGGCAGCATAGTATTCTGAATTCATGTCTACAATTGTAAAATGTTTCTTCCTAACAATCACCTGGCTCTATGGCTCTTCCAGTTTCCTTTGTAACCCTCTTTACTGCACTCCCATGTGCCATGGACTCATACTTCTCAGCTGAGTCATCACTTATCCGTATTCAGAACTGAATACTGGAGAGTGGGATGAATTCTGGGGACTCCTGCATTGCTGACCTGTTCTTTTATGATTATTCACTTATTCCCTCTTCCCTGCATACTCTCAGGCTCTGAAGTGACCACCTATATAAATGTGCTATTCACGTAGCACTCTGCTCCAAACATTTTTCCCTCCCCACCCTTATCTGCTTTCCGGAGGGACCACTCTCTCCGTGACTCCCTTGTCCGCTCCACACTCCCCTCCAGCCCCACCACCCCTGGCGCTTTTCCCTGCAACCACAGCAAGTGCTACACCTGCCCCTACACCTCCCCCCTCACCCCCATCCCAGGCCCTAAGAAGACCTTCCACATCAAACAGATGTTCATCTGCCAATGTGGTATACTGTATCTGCTGTTCCCATTGTGGCCTCCTCTACATCGGGGAAACCAAGCGGAGGCTTGGGGACCGCTTTGCGGAACACCTACGCTCAGTTCGCAACAAACAACTACACCTCCCAGTCGCGAACCATTTCAACTCTCCCTCCAACTCCTTGGACGACATGTCCATCCTGGGCCTCCTGCATTGCCACAATGATGCCACCCAAAAGCTGCAGGAACAGCATCTCATATTTCGCTTGGGAACCCTGCAGCCCAATGGTATCAATGTGGACTTCACAAGCTCCAAAATCTCCCCTCCCCCTACCACATCCCAAAACCAGCCCAGCTTGTCCCCGCCTCCCTAACCTGTCCTTCCTCCCACCTCAAGCCCCACCCCCATCTCCTACCCACTAACCTCATCCCGCCTCCTTGACCTGGCCGTCCTCCCTGGACTGACCTATCCCCTCCCTAACTCCCCACCTACACTCACCTTTACTGGCTCCACCCCCACCTCTTTGACCTGTCTGTCTCCTCTCCACCTATCTTCTCCTCTATCCATCTTCTATCTGCCTCCCCCTCTCTCCCTATTTATTTCAGAATCCCCTTCCCCTCCGCCATTTCTGAAGAAGGGTCCAGATCTGAAACGTCAGCCTTCCTGCTCCTCTGATGCTGCTTGGCCTGCTGTGTTCATCCAGCTCTACACCATGTCACCTCTTAATCTTCTCTGCTTGAAGGACAATCAGCCTTGGTTGAGAGAGGGACAAGACTGGCTGCACAACAATTCCAGGGTTTTATTGTTTTATGTGAAATAGAGAGGGAGGCAAAAGAGGTGGAGGAGTTGCATCACTAATCAAGGAGAATATCACGTGCACTCAGAGAGGACATGCTGGACAGCTCATCCACTGTGGCAATATGGGTAAAGCTCAAAAATAAGAAGGGTGCAGTCACTCTGATGGGATTATACTATAGGCCTCCCAGAGACATTGAGGAACAAATATAGGCAGATTATGGAAAGATGCCATAAAACAGGGTTAACATAGTGGGTGAATTAACAACATTGACTGGGACTTCCTTAGACCAAGAGGCTTAGAAGGGGAAGATTTTGTTAGGTGCAACGAAGAGGGTTTCTTGAAACAGTGTGTGCATAGTTCAACTAGAGAAAGGGCCATACTGGACCTTGTATTAGCTATTGAGCCTGGCCAGGTGACTGACCTTTCAATGGGACAGCATTTTGGAAACAGTGATCACAATTCCTTAAGTTTTAAGATAGCTATGAATAAGGATAAGTCAGGACCTTGAGAGAAGGCACTATGTTGGGGGATGGCAAATTATGTCAGTGTTAGGCAGGAGCTAGGGAGTGTTTATTAGGAACATCTGTTATTGGGCAAGTCCACCTTTGATGGTGGGAGTTGTTCAAAGACTGACTGATCAGAGTTCAGGACCAGCATGTTCCAGTAAGGAGGAAGGACAAGGATGGTAAGCTAAGGGACCTTCAGATAACGAGGAAGGTTGTGAATTTAGTCAAAAGGAGAAAAGAAGCACGTGTAAGGCTTAGGAAGCTAAAATCAGACCGGGCCCATGAGGAATATAAAGAAAGCAAGAAAGAACTCAAGCAGGGAATTAGGAGAGGAAGAGGGACCATGAAATGACCTTGGCATGTAACGTTAAAGACAGTCCCAAGGCATTCTGTACATACTTTAAAAAAACAAGAGGACAACTATGGAGAAGGTGAAACCACTCAAGGATTAAGGAGGGAACTTGTGCTTGGAGGCAGAGGATGTGGGCGAGATCCTAAATGAGTACTTTGCGTCAGTATTCACACAGGAGAAGGATATTGAGGACAGTGAAATTTGTGTGGAACATGCTAATATGCTCAGGCATTTTGAGATCAAGAAAGTGATGTGGGGTCTCTTCAACAGCATTAAGATAGATACGTCCCCAGGACCCGATGGTGTCCACCCCAGGTTATTAAGAGAGGAGATTGCTGGGGCCTTGACCAAGATCTTTGTATCCTTGTCGGAGATATCAAGAACTGCAGATGCTGGAGTCAGAGTTGATACAGTGTGGAGCTGGAGGAACACAGCAGGTTAGGCAGCATCAGAAGAGCAGGAGAATCGATGTTTTGGGCCTAGACCCTTCATCATGACATCTTTGTATCCTCGCTAGCTACTGGAGAGGTCCTGGAGGACTGGCGAGTAGCTAATGTTGTTCCTCTGTTCAAGAAGGGAAATAGGAATAATCCAGGAAGTTATAGACGAGTGAGTCTCACATCGGTGGATGGGAAACTATTGGAGGGAATTCTTAGGGATAGGATTAATGCGCATTTGGAAAAGTATGGCCTAATTAGGGACAGTCAGCGTGGCTTAGTAACTTGATTGAATTTTTCGAGGAGGTGATGGTGATCGATGAAGGTAGAACAATGGATGTTGTCTGCATGGATTTTAGTAAAGCTTTTGACAAGGTCCCTTGTGGTAGGCTCATCCAGAAGATTAAGATGCATGGGATCCACAGTGATGTGGCCACTTGGATTCAGAATTGGTTTGCCTATAGAAGGCAGGGGGTAGTGGTGGAATGGTATTTTTCTGGCTGGTAGCCTGTGACTGATGGTGTTCCACAGGGATCCGTACTGGGATCTCTGCTGTCTGTGATATGTATAAATGACTTGGATGAAAACGCAGATGGTGGGTTAGTAAGTTTGCAGATGATACAAAGATCGGTGGGATAGTGTAGAAGGTTGTCAAAGGATACAGCGGATATAGAACAGTACCAGATATGGGTGGAGAAATGGCAGATGGAGTTTAATCCGGGCAAGTGTGAGGTGCTGCACTTTGGGAGATAAAGTGTTAAGGAAAAGTATACAGTTAATGACAGGACCCTGAACAGCATTCATGTACAGAACAATCTTGGGGTTCAAGTCTATAGCTCCCTGAAAGTGGCCACACAAGTAGACAGGGCGGTAAAGAAGGTGTACGGCATGCTTCGTTGGTCGGGGCATTGAGTACAAGAGTCAGGATGTCATGTTGCAGCTTTATAAGACTTCAATTAGGCTGTACTTAGAGTATTGTATTCAATTCTGGTTGCCACATTACAGGAAGGATGTGGAGGTTTTGGAGAGGGTGCAGAAGAGGTTTACGAGGATGCTGCCTTGATTAGAGGGTATGACCCATAAAGAGAAGCTAGGAAAACTCTGATTGTTTTGTCTGGAGTGGCAAATGGTGAGGGGAGACTTTACAAAAGTCTGTAAGATTATGAGATGCATAGATACGGTTGACAGTCGGAATCTTTTTCCCAGACTTGAAATATCTAATACAAGGGGGCATGTATTTAAGGTGAATGGGGGAAAGTTCAAAGGAGATGTGAGGGGCAAGTTTTTACATGGAGTGTGGTAGGTGTATGGACCGCACTGCCAAGAGTGATGGTGGAGGCAGATATGATAGGGGCGTTTAAGGGGCTTTCAGCTAAGCACATGAATATACAAGGAATAAAGGGATATGGACCAAGAGCAGAGAGAAGGGATTAGTTTAATTTGGTCCACATTCTGCACAGCAGCGTGGGCCGAAGCGCCCATCCCTGTGCTGTACAGTATATGTTCTAAACCCATTTCTCTAATCCCTTTCCTTGGATTTAAAATTCCTTATTCCTGGGATCATTCTAGTAAATCTCCTTTGCAATGCCTCCAGGGCTTTAACATCCTTCGTCAAATAAGGTGCCCAGAACTGAACATGCTACTCCCAAATGTGGTCTGATCTATGATTTATAGAGGTTTAGCATCACTTTCTTGCGTTTACGCCCCCTACCTCTCTTTATAAACCCAAGGATCCAATAAGCTTTCTTAACAACTGTTTCAACTTACCTGGCCATCTTCAGAGAATTATACATGTGAACCTTGAGATCCCTCTGCTCCTGTACTCCCCTCAAAGTTGTACCATTCAGCCTGTATTGTCTGTCTGTGTTTCTTCCACCAAAATGCATAACAACATTTCTGCACCTTGAACTTCATCTGCCAGGTGCCTACCCTTTTGGCCAACTTGTCAATGCCTCTCTGAAGTTGCTCAGCGTCATCCTCACAATTCACTGTTCTCCCTAGCTTAGTATCATCTGCAAATTTAGAGCTTTTGCCTTCAGCACACATTTCCAAATCATTTATATAAGTCAGAAAAAGCAAGGATCCCAATACTGATTCCCCTGGGACTCCAGATTGAACTCGTCTCCAATCTGAAAAAATGCCCATCTGTACATACCCTCTGTTTCCTATCTTTTAGCCAACTTTTAATCTATGCTGCCAAATGGCGACTTTCTGAAGAAGGGTCTAGGCCCGAAACGTCAGCCTTCCTGCTTCTCTGATGCTGCTTGGCCTGCTGTGTTCATCCAGCTCTACACCTTGTTGACTCTTACACACAGGCAGTTATACAGGATTCAGGAACTGTCCTGGAATTTCTACATAGTACATGATAGATTAAATCAGCTTGCCATTCCTGTATTTGTTAACCTTGTTACTATTTAAAAAAGCTTAGCTATAAAACTTACAACATTTAATAAAGCCAAATAAATCTGACATCCTTAAGGCACTTTACCAGTTGTAATAAATATACTTAAAGCATCTCTTTCCCCTGTCTGCACAATTCCCACGTGAACCAAATTTGCTCACACCCATGTCCCTGTTTTACTCAAACATAGCCTCCTTATGCATTCTCTCTCCCTCTGTTCTGCCTCTCCCCCACCCAACCACCGACCCTGGAATCACTGAAGCTTTTAATTTTTTTCATATGACAGGTTCAGATATGATAAAAATGCATTAAATGCAAATCACTTCATCCTTCAACTTACCTACCATGTGTATGCTCTGTTAATAGCTACAGATCATCTAACACCATGTTCAATATTCACAGCAATCTGCTCAAGCAAAAACTTACCATTGCTGTAAAAAAAAAATCTGTCTCTTTTTAGCCCTAATCTGTCTGACTGAAAAACCCTATCTACTTGGACACAGTATAATCCTTTATTTTAAATACTTGATTCAATCAAGTATGTTCGGCAGGGATCGAGTGAATCCCAGCAGAGTATAAAGGCAGTAGAAGTATACTTACGAGGGAAACCAGGAGTGCAGAAAGGGGACATGAGATAGCTTTGGTAAATATAGTCAAGGAGAATCCAAAGGGTTTGTACGAATACATAAAGGATAAAAGAGTAACTAGGGAAAGAATGGGGCCTCTTGAAGACCAGCAACGCTGCCCATGTGCGGAACCGCAGAAGATGGATGAGATATTAAATAAGTATTTTGCATCAGTATTCACTGTGGAAAAGGATATGGGAGCTAGAAAACTTGGGAAATTAAAAAGTAACATTTTGGAAAATGCCCATATTACAGAGGAGCAGGTACTGGATCTCTTAAAATGCATAAAGGTGGATAAATCCCTGGGCCAATCAGGGCAGGACTTATACACTTAATGGTAAGGATCTGGGCAGTGTTGCTAAACAAAGAGATCTTAGAGTGCAGGTTCATAGTTCCTTGAATGTGGAGTGTCAGGTAGACAGGATGGTGAAGAAGGCTTTTGGTATGCTTGCCTTTATTGGTCAGTGAATTGAGTATAGGAGTTGGGAGGTCATGTTGTAATTGTACAGGACATTGGTTAGGCCACTTTTGGAATACTGCGTTCAGTTCTGGTCTCCCTGCTACAGGAAGGATGTTGTGAAACTTGAAAGGGTTCAGAAAAGATTTACAAGGATGTTGCCAGGGTTGGAGGATTTGCGCTACAGGGAGAGGCTGAATAGGCTGTGACTATTTTACCTGGAGTGTTGGAGCACGAGGGGTGGCCTTATAGAGGTTTATAAAATCATGAGTGGCATGGATAGGGTGAATAGCTAAGGTCTTTTCCCTGGGGTTGGAGAGTCCAAAATTAGAGGAAAGATTTAAAAGGGACCTAAGGGGCAACTTTTTCACGCAGAGGGTGGTGCATGTATGAAATGAGCTGCCAGAGGAAGTGATGGAGGTTGGTACAGTAACAACATTCAAAAGGTATCTGGATGGGTATATGAATAGGAAGGGTTTAGAGGGATATGGGCCAAATGCTGGCAAATGGGACTAGATTAATTTAGGAATATCTGGTCGGCACGGAAGAGTTGGATCAAAGAGTCTGTTTTTGTGCTGTACGGTTCTATGGCTCTAAACATCTCCAAAGTTTATGCTTTTCAAGAGTAAAAGGCTCAACTCTTTAAATGCATCAATAGTAAAGGCTTTTAAACGATACATAAATCACCTGTCCTTTAGCCTCCACGGGCCATTTCACTCATCATCAGAGGGAACCAAACTGGATATAGTATTGTAAATGAGGCCTCGGTCTGTGTAAGGCTCTGAAGTGCATGATTTTGGTGTAGAGTAAGCTGTACATAAGTGAAAGCTGCTTAATGTATGCTAGGTAGGGAGTATGGGGTTGGAGGCAGGTACAGAACACATGAAATGGCTTTTTGAGGTAATGAACGTGCTCATGAGAATTTGTATTCAATAGGTAGGGCTGTCATAACATCTGTTATGGAAAAATGTCATTACAGTTGTACAGTGCTAGATTTAGCTTAAGTGGATATTGATGGAGACAGGGAGAAGCTGGTAGAGACCAAATGAAGAGTAAAGATTTATATCATCTAGTACTTGTAGCTGGATACCACACCACTAAGCTCCAAGTCAATGGTAGCAGACAGGTGATGAATGTCAGGACTCTACAGTGAATTCCTGGAGCACAGCACAACAGTGGGTACAGAAATCTGTATCCAGACAGCTTTAGGTAGGAGTGGGTTAGTGAGTTTGCCTATGGTCAGGTGCTGGTCGGTATTGTTACAAATCATACTGAAGAACTTCAGCAGATCATGGATGCCCTAAGGGCTGGAAATGCTCAGTAGAAAACAAATATCCTTTCATTTCCCTTGATCTGACTAGGTTTATGATGAACGGAAGCTCTATGTGAAAGAATGGAAGAGAAGGAAGAGAATGGTGAGTATTTTTAAAAACTTAAGTAGAAAGAAGGATTCGTATCAGGGATTGGGGGGCAGGGGTGGTACTGGACCATTGGAGATAAAGGGATTAGTATAGTCTGGGGTTATTGAAGGTTTCATTTGAGATGGGAGGTTATGGGAAGCATGAATCAGGTCACTCATGTATGCTGTTGTTGGTCTTTTCACTGTTGTTGTCACCAAATTGGTTTAAGTATTTAATGCTCTATATTATGGAAATGCAGTAGCCGCAGGGCGCCCATGATTCTGATGATATTATGGCTGGGATGGAAAGAATATTCTGGTAATCAAATAAGATTCTCCAGAGTTACACCATAAGTATCAATGGTTTGTTTCAATTGTCAAAATAGCCATCAACAAAAACAGAAATTGCTGGAAAAGCTGAGCAGGTCTGGCAGCATCTATGGAGAGAAATCAGAATTAACGTTTCATGTCCAGTGACTCTTCTTCAGAACTGATGGTAGCTAGAAAAAAATGTTCTTTTAATGCAAAAGACAGGGTGGAGGGAGGGGGTAAGAGTAAATGTTTGGTGGAGATAGAGCCCAAAGAGGGAGAAGAACGGTTGGTCAGACAAGAGTGTGGATAACAGTCAGCCTAGGAGAATCAATAGCTACTAATAGGGTCTATTAGTGGCTAACAAAGGGTTGTGTGTAATAGCAGACTATGTAATAACAAGGCCTGGTGTCTGGGGGTTGGGGAAAGGAAATGGGAGAAGGTGCCTCAAACTCTAAAATTCTTGAACTCGTTATTGAGTTCTGAAGGCTGTAGAGTTCATAAGCGGAAAATGAGATGCTGTTCTTCCAGTTTCCACTGAGCTTTGCTGGAGCACTGCAGCAAGCCTGAGACAGAGATATTGACCAGGAAACAAGGTGGTGTTGAAATGACAGGCAACTGGAAGCTCAGAGTCTTTTTTGCAGACAGAACATAGGTGTTCTGTGAAGCAGTCATTTAGTATAAGCTTTGTTTCTGCAATGTAGAGAAGAGCAGTAGACTAGATTGAGTGAAGTGCACCTGGAAGGTGTGTTTAGGCCGTTGGATACTGAGGAGGGAGGAAGTAAACGGGCAGGTGTTACACCTTTTGCAGTTGTAGGGGAAGGTGCAATGGGGTTGTGGGGGTGGGTGGGGGTGTTGGGAGTGAAGGAATGGACCAGGGTGGCCCAAAAGGAACGTACCTTCCAGAAGGCTAACAAGAGGGGAAGGGAATATGTATCTAGTGGTGGCATCCCACTGGAGGTGGCAGAAATGGCAGCTAATGATCCTCTGGGTGTGGATGCTGGTGGGATGGTAGGTAAGGACAAGGGTCCCTATCACTGTTGTGGGAGGGAAGAGAGGGGATAAGGGCTGAAGTGCAGGAGATAGATTGGATGGGTTGGCCAAAATAGCCAATTGTTTCCTTTTGTACTACAATCCAGAATAAGAGACATTCACAATGTTTCTTTAATTAACTCAAAAATAATTTGTTTATTCTAAAATAATGCTTTGCATGGCTGTTTTTCTGAAGTCATTTGATTTTCCATAATCAGTTGGTTTACATTTATATTAAATTGTTGACCTCATTCCTTGATAAAAGACTCTAACCCAAAAGTATCCCAGCAATTCAGTATCTTCCAGTTTTTCCACATAGTCTGTAAATAGAGATATCTACTTTCATTGTTGGGTATCAGTCAAGGTCTTTGGAACATTTAAACAAAAATGTAGCGTGGGTGCTGGAGAAACTCGGCAGGTTTGTGAGAAAAGAAGCAGAGTTAATGTTTCAAATCTAAAATCATTCTTTGGAACTCATTCAAAGAAAATTCACATCAGACTGGAAACATTAACTGTTTCTCTCTCCATAGATGCTGGCAGACTTACTGAGTTTCTCCAGCACTTTGTTTTTATTTGCAACATTTAATTTGATTTCAAAACCAGGTATTGACAACAAAACTGATGTTTCTGCATTTCTGGTTGAGATTCTCTGAGTCGACACTAGGTAGTGAATTAATATTTTTTTTTTTCAGGTTGGTGATTTGACTGATGCAGTTCTGGAAGGGTACCCCAAGAGCAGAAAGCAATTTTATGTAAGTTTAAAAAAAAACTCTCATTGCTTCTAACTGTGTCAAGATTAGCTACATCTAGTGGAGTTTAGGATACTATAGACTGTTTGGCAGTAGAATCATTGTTGATACACAGGAAGCCATGCTCATTTATTTTGACTACATCTTTAGACAGGAGAACATATTTACTTGAATAAGTTATTTATTTACATCGGCAGCATCTGCGTCAGCATATTTACAAATTCCAGCCTAAACTCTGGTCTTGCATTCTGTACTTTCGCAGCTACTGAATGGCAAATTGCACTTAACTCTACTTTTGCTGTTTTCCCCATTAAAACCTTTACACATTCTCCCCCTGGTATGGTCCTCATCTTCAAACCTCAAGTCTGAGGGACATGAAATTGAACAGATATGGCATGCAACAAGTTTAGCCATTCATCACCAGATCTGGCATGACCACTTGAGGGTCCTGCCCTCTTCTGCCAAAACTGTTCATTGTTCCAGTATTAACCTGAAAGCTAAGATAGCCAAATTTCAGCTTCTTTTTTCCAGGACAAACAATATAATCCCATCTCCCTGCTTCTTTCATTCTAACCTGGGAATCTGCACTTTGTATTAATATTGAGACTATCCATTCAGTTGCTTCTGTCCCTCTATTTCCAACTTAAATTTGCATCATGCTCTATTTTTTTTTTCCTGTTTCCCTTCATCTGCTACAAGTCGCCTGCTCCCTCTATCATATTTTCATCAAGTTTTTAATCACCTGAGTTTCCTTTCTGCTTCTCATTTTAGCTAAGATTGTTGATGGTTCGCTCTTGATTTCACTCCTTAATGGCATTGTGGGTCTACCTATAGCAGATGAACTGCAGTGGTTCAAGAAGGCACCTCACCACCACCTATTCAAGGGCAGTTAGGGATGGGCAATAAATGCTGGCCAGCCAGTGCTGCCCATCCCATGAATGAATTAAAAAAATAAATTTAGTGCTGCCTGCTTCCCCTTTAAATTGCTATCATCACTGCTCTTTTTCAAAAAAAAAGCCCTCAATGAATTTGTCTTCACACAGTTGTCACATTTCTTAACTTCGTTCTCTTTAAAGTCATAGAGTTGTGCAGCACGGAAACAGACCCTTCAGTCCAACTCGTCCATGCATCCTAAATTAATCTAGTCCCATTTGCCAGCATTTGGCCCATATCCCTCTAAACCCTTCCTATTCACATACCCATCCAGATGCCATTTAAATGTTGTAATTGTACCAGCTCCACTACCTTTTCTGGCAGCTTATTGCATACACGCACCACCCTCTGCGAGAAAGAGTTGCCCCTTAGGTCCCTTTTAAATCTTTTCCCCCTCTCTTATGTGAAAGTAGGTCTTCTAGAGAGTGACTAAGTGAGTTTGGGGAAGTAATAGAAATACAGAAAAGGCAAATTAATTGAACATGTATTTTGCATCCTCATTGTAGAAGATATAAATAACATCCCAATTGTGAATCAGAATATGAAAGGGAACAAATAACTTGAGCTTGACTCATCAGCCATCAATGATAGAGCTTGGCTAATCATTTCAACTCAAACCAGATAATTAGTGGCAGGTGGTAAGTACAATTGCAATCATTTAGGAAAGGAAATTTATTTGAAAAAATCTGACCAATCTCCTCGCTTGATTATTATGTAATCTTGGTTTTAATTTTCCAAAATAGTCCCATCAGAATGGAAACTATCTCTGCTCAAGAAAGGAGGGAAATAAAATGCAGGAAGCTACAGGCTGGTTAACCTAAGTAGGGAAAATGTTACAATTTGTTATTATGAAGGTTATGGCAGAGAGGTTAGTCCAAATGCAATCAGGCAGAGTCAGTATGATTTTATGAAAGGGAATTCATGTTTGACTAATGTATTAGAATTCTTCAAGGAAGCAATGAGCAGTATAGATAAATAGGAACCTTTGGATGCGCTGTACTTAGATTTGCAGAAGGCATTTAACTAGATGCCACATCAAAAATCCTATGTAAAATAAAAGCTCAATTAACATATTAGAATGGATTGAGGGTTAATTGGCTAATGGGAAGTAAAGGCTGAATCCCTAAAGTCTCTCAGTATGGTCAAATGTGTATATTGTTACGTGGAGTGGTATTGTCCCATGTGGAACAAATCAAGAGGTTGTCAAAATTGAAATTACGGTGTTGATGTACGGAGTCTCTTTTGGAATCTATTTCAGTAACATATCTATTGGTTTATTAATACAGGAGGAAATTGGAATAGAAACAGATGAAGATCACATGGTCACTATGCCAGACGTATGAAGAATAAAGTTGTACAAAAAATGGCAGTACAACCAAAGTTTCATGTAAATACAAAAGCTACTCCAGGATGCTTTCTGCCCAATTTGTTGCATCAAGGAATTCATGAGTCTTCTGCTTGGCTACTGAATGTAGAATTTCCTATGAAATCTGTTCTTTTTCAAGTGTTGCTCCATCCAATCACATTGAGATGATAATGCTATATTTTTGATTTCAACAGGAACATAACGAGATCTTGCTCACCCACACTCAGAATTTCATTTGTTTGCAGCTGTTTGGAGAGTTCCTTTATGGAGTGCAGTTCATTTTTATTTTGGTCAAGTCAACATGGCCCTGCTACAATGAACAGCGTCTGGTTTGTAGAACTTTGCTGTGCACTACTGTCTGAAATTCATATTTATAGCATTCCAAAAGAATTGCTCTGAATCTGAACTGAGCAATTTGTTTGCTTGGATATTGAACTGGAGCTTGGCTCATTAGTTTTCAAAAATAAAGTTTGGTTAATCATTTGACTCAAACCAGATAACTGGTGGCAGGTAATAAAAACACTGGTCTACTCTGTGTCAACATTATCTTTTCTTAGACTTTTACTGTTAGGTTTTCTGTTTATTGAAAAGATTTTGTCATGTAGCTGATTCAGATTTCTGTGTTGTTGAACTTATTAACACACGTTACAGCATTGTATATGTTGTTTTTCAGAATAAAATATTGTAAAATTTACATTTTAGTTCTGTCAGTATGGATATGCACTTAACTGAACACACCTTGACATTTCCAAAATGACACAGTTTTTTATTTTGTAAAGGAAACCCTGAGGTCCTGGTAGAAGATCTTACCAGGCTGAAGGACAGAAAAGGAGGTTTGAGCTTTGGAGAGATTTGAAAATAGGAATAGGATTTACACGCATTTGGAAAAAGCATGGCCAAATGAAGGACAATCAGCATGGCTTTGTGCAGGACAGGTCATATCTTAGTAAGTTGATGGATTTTTTTTAAAGAGGTGACGAGGGTGATCGATGAGAGTAGAGCAGTGGACATTGTTTACATGGATTTTAGTAAGGCTTTCAACAAGGTCCCTTATGGTAGGCTTATTGAGAAGAATAAGATGCATGGGATCCAGAGTGATGTGGCTATTTGTATTCAGAATTAGTTTGCCCATAGAAAACGGAGGGTAGTGGTGCAATGGTAATTTTCTGGCTAGTGGTCTGTGATTAGTGGTGTTCCGCAGGGATCCGTACTGGGACCTCTGCTGTTTGTGATGTATATAAATGACTTGGATGAAAACATAGATGGATGGGTTAGGAAGTTTGCAGATGACAAAGATCGGGGGAGCCATGGATAGTGTAGAAGGTTGTCAAAGGATGCAGCGGGATATAGATCAGTTATAGATATGGGTGGAGACATGACAGGTGGAGTTTAATCCGGGCAAGTGTGATGTGTTGCACTTCGGGACATCAAATGTTATAAGAAAGTATGCAATTAATGGCAGGACACTTAACAGCATTGATGTACAGAGGGATCTTGCAGTCTAGTCCATAGCACCTTACAAGTGGCCACATAGGTAGACAGGGTGTTAAAGAAGGTGTATATAGCATGCTTGACTTTATTGTTCGGGGCATTGAGTACAAGAGTCAGGAAGTGATGTTGCAGTTTTGTAAAACTTTGGTTAGGCCACACTTAGAGTGTTGCATTCAGTCTGTTCGCTACACAACAGGAAGCATGTGGAGGCTTTGGAGAGGGTGCAGAAGACGTTTACCAGGATATTGTCTGTATTAGAGTATGAGCAATAAGGAGAAGCTGGACAAACTAGGGTTGTTTTTTCTGGAGTGCCAGAGGCTGAGTGGAGACTTGAAAGAAGTTTTTAAGATTATGAAAGGCATTGATAAGGTTAACAATCCTTTTTTCCAGACTTGAACTGTCTAATACTAGAGGGCACGCATTTAAGATGAGAGGAGGAAAGTTCAAAGGAGATGTGAGGGGCTGGTATTTTACACCAAGTGTGGTAGATGTCTGGAACATGCTGCCAGGGGTAGTAGTGGAGGCAGATACAATAGGGTCTTTTAAGAGGCTTTTAGGTAAGCACACAAATAAGCAAGGAATGGTGGAATATGGACCATGGGTAGGCAGAACAGATTAACTGGGCCAAAGGGCCTGTTCCTGTGCTGTACTCCTCAATGTTCTAAGTGGGAATTTTAAAATTAGACGTTGCTTAACCTAATACTTTCTAATGTCCTTAAGAGACAGAAACTGTCATCCTTACCTGGTCTGGTCTACATGTGACTCCACACCCACAGCAATGTGGTTGACTCTTAACTGCCCTCTGGACAATTAGGATTAGGTCTTCATCCTGCGAATAAATTTTTACAAAGGGAGTCAATTCAGGTGAACTTGGCACAATAGGTGAATTTGATGTGGATTAGGATCTGACTTGCAGAATTTTCTAAGTTAGTTTGTGGGGTCCAAGCCAGATTGCATTGGAATAGACAAATCTGAAACAAAGATAACCATAAGTAGGTGCTGGCTAAATAAACCAAATGGGATTTGGGTAAAATTAGAAATGGAGTACTGTTTAGGTAGAGGAGGGTGGTGTATCCCATCTTTGAGTCAAGTGTAAATTCCTTAGTAAAGGGACTGAGTCAATTGTGATTTAAATTAGATGGGGCTTTCCAATATTTAGCTGTTCCAATAACACTGGCATCTATCCAACAATGTGGAAAATTACCCAAGTATTACCTCTAATGAAAACCCGAGAAATCCAATCCTGCTTGTTACCATCTGTCAGACGACTCTTCACTGATTGATAGATTTGATTTACTGTCACGTGTACTACCTAAGTACAGTGAAAAGCTTATTCATTCATGGGATGAGGAAATCACTGGCTAGGCCAGCATTTATTGCCCAGAGAGCAGTTAAGAGTCAACCACATTGCTGGGAGTCTGGAATCACATATAGACCAGACCAGGGAAGGATGGCAGTTTTCTTCCCTAAAGGGCATTAGAGAACCAGATGGGTTTTTCTGACAATGGATCATGGTCATCATTAGCCTCTAAATTCCAGATACTTTTTATTAAATTCAAATGCCACCATTCGCCATGATCGAACTCAAATCCAGGTCCCCATAAAATTATCTAGATCTCTGTATTAATGATCCGGTGATAATACCATTAGGCCATTGCCTCCCCCAGGCAGATCATAGTAAGCAAGGGCATATAGATCATAGGGTGTAAAAAACATTGGACAGAGTAAGGCATACAGGTTACACCGTGTACTAGGCAAGATCACATTAACAAGATCAGCATTATGTGACATTACAGAATCCATTCATCAGTCTAATAATAGCAGGAAAGAAGCTGTTCTTGAACCTGCAGGTGCATGTTTCTGTATCTGAACCTGCACGTTTCTATATCTTCTGCCTGATAGAAGAGGTTGTAGGAGAGCATTACCAGGGTGGGGTGGGTCTTTGATGAATTTGGCAGCCTTTCCATGGCAACGAGACGTGTAAATGGAATCCGTGGGTGGGAGGTTGGCTTCCATGTTGGTCTGGGCTGTGCACAACCTACTGTAGTTTCTTACCATCCTGAGCAAAGCATTTGCCATACTAGGCCATTATGCACCCGGACAGTATGCTTTCTATGGTGCATATGTAAAAGTCAGTGAGGGTCCGTATGGTCATGCCAAATTTCCTGAGCCGCCTGAGGAAGAAGAGGTGTTGTTGTGCTTTGATGGTCACATCTGCATGGCCGGTCCAGGACAGGTTGCGGTTATTGTCACTCTTAGGACCCTCCTAAGCTTTGCTCCATTGAAGAGGTTCAGTTGTCTGTCTTCACTGATGGTGGTCTTTGGGTCAGGGAGCTGAGGATCCAATCGCAGAGGGTGCAGCCAAGACCTAGGTCTCTGAGTTTATGATCTGTCTGGAGGGGATAATGGTGTTGAAGGCAATACTGTAGTTGATGAGCAGTTTTACCATCTGACATAGGTGTCCTTGCTGTCTGGATGTGTCCGGAATGAGTGCAGGGCTCGAGAACTGGCATCCGCTGTGGACCTGTTATGTTGGTAGGCAAATGGAGGCAATGTTGGAGGCGATGGCCTAGTGGTATTATCACTAGGCTGTTAATTCAGAGACCCAGGTAATGTTCTGGGGACCTGGGTATGAATCCTGCCGTGGCAGATGGTGGAATTTGAATTCAAAAAATATCTGGAATTAACAATCTAATGATGACCATGAATCCATTGTCAATTGTCAGAAATACCCATCTGGTTCACTAATGCCCATGCTGCATGTGCTTTCTTAGGTACTAGGAACATATATGTAAACAGATCATGGAATGATGCAAAAACGACAGGGTTGATGTAGTGGGTGATTTTAACTTCCCCAACATTGACTGAGACTTTGTTCCTTCCAGGTGCTTAGATGGGGCAGAATTTGTTAGGTGCATTCAGGAAGGTTTCTTGAAACAATATGTAGATACTCCAATTAGGGAAGAGGCAGAACACAGAAGTGGACCTTGTACTAGGGAATGAGCCTGGCCAGATGATCGAAGTTTCAGTGACAGAGCATTTTGACAAGTGATCATAATTCTGTAAGTTTTAAGATGGTTACAATAAAAATAAGACAGATCCTCAAGTGCAAGTCCTAAATTGGAGGAAGGCTGATTATTAGGCAGGAACTGGAGAAATTAGATTGGAGGTGGCTGTTTGAGGGGATATATCTAGATCTGACATGTGGGAATCTTTAAAATGCCAGTTGGTCACAGTTCAGGACCAACATGTTCCTCTGAAGATGAAAGATGAGGATGGCATGATTCAGGTACCCTGGATGAAAGGGGTTTTAGTCAAAAAGAAGGAAGGATATGTAAGGTTAGGAAACTGAAATCAGACAAGGCACTTGAGGAATATAAAGGAAACAAGAACAAACTTGAACAAGGAATCAGAAGGGCTGAAAGAGGCCTACTTGTCCTTGGCAAGTAGGATTCAGGAGAATCCCAAGGCAGGTTATGCATATTAGGAACAAGAGGGCAGCTAGAGAAGGGGTAGGTCAGCGGGAATTTATGCATGCAGCCAGAGAAGGATGGTGAAGTTCTTAATGAGTACTTTGCATCATTATTCATCAAGGAGAAGAACATGGACATGGCAAGATTAGGGAAGGGTATACTGATATTCTGGAGCACATTGTTATTAAGGAGGTGGTGTTGGGTATTTTAATACCTGTCCATATTGTTCCTTTGTTTAAAAAGGGCAACAGGGGTAATCTAAGAAGTGATGGTCCAGTAAGCAGTATATCTCTGATAGGGAAATTATTAGAGCAAGTTCTTAGGGACTGGATTTACTTGCATTTGGAAAAGCACAAACTTTTTAGGGATCATCTGCATGGCCTTCAGGGGAGGTGGTAGAAGCAGAAAGATAGCAACATTTAAGAGGCATATAGACAGACTCATGAATAGGCAGGGAACAGAGGGCTGGGGACCATGTGCAGGCAGATGGAATTAATTTAGAATGGCATCATGGTGGGATGGAGGGCCTGTTCCTGTGCTGTACTGTTCTGGTTTTAAAAGGAAAAACTAAATTCTCTATCCAGAAGTCTAGAGAAATGGCAGATGGAGCTTATTCTAGACAAATGTGAGGTGATGCATTTCGGAAGATCAAATTCAGGTGTGAATTATACATAAGATGGCAGACCCTTAGCAGCACTGACATACACAGGGATCTGAGTGTAAAGGACCA